GTGAAATCCAATTTCATGAACCTCGCCCTTGGTGCAGTCGGCCCCACGTACCACTGCACCGAACTAAGGCCTTGGTGCAGCCACTGCACCAGTACCGCTGCACTTGTCAAGGCCTACTTACTAATAGAACCAAATTCTTTATATATAGCGATTATCAACTAGTATACTATACGATACCTTAAATTATTACGTTCGCTTTCCGCGATAGGGCTGTTACCAATACCGACCTCACGCTAGAGCTTATTTAGCGGCTACGAGTTCTAAGAGGTAGTCTGTCTCTTCCCCTCCGGTAGAAGCCCGAGGTTCTTAATATGCCCCTCCTTCGACGCCTTAAGCGCACTCTACCCGGCTATAAACTCTATAGGTCTTTACTAATAACATATGATTTATGTAACGGGCCAATGCCCGGTTGATATCACGCGCGCACGTGACACTACACCCCCTTTTGTTTACGTTCCGACCCCGTCAACTCTCTTCTTTCCTTAAGCTTTTAGATAACTGCATACGGCTTAGTTAGTTTGAATCAAGACTAGCTACGTCCCTTCACAATTTAAGCCGTTAGTGTTAGGGAACAAACTGGATTGCAACAATCTACAGTGCTTCCTATGTACAAGAAGGTTTTGTCAGCCGGAAATACACTTCCCCGTTCCGTCATTTCCTGTATTTACTTTCTAGCTACAGGGCCCACCTTAGCTCTACTTAGTAAGCGAACAGCAAGCTACCAAGCTGAGCAACTTGCTCCTTTTTAGAAATTACACTCATTTTACCACTTGCTCTGTATAGTAAGCTTTTGGTATTAGTTCACATCAGTCCCACTTGTTCAACACATAGTAATAAAATCAGAGCAATAATATGATCGACAAGTTATAGTATTACCTGCGCCGAATCTTCTTACCACGGCGAGCATTCGGATCTCTATCTACTCCATCCAAGTGTCCCACGCCAATCACGGAGCTTAACACTAACATTTGAATCTCTCTAGTGCGTCCCTACTCTCTAGTGCTCACCTGCTGGAGTGACGGTTTTGAAATTTTGCAGCTCATAGACCGCAGTTTCTAGAGCGCGTCGTCGATCACCTTTAGCCATGGTTTCCAACGTAAAATCCGTTGCCTACTATGCTAATTAACAATGGCCCTTGGATGTAGCTACTCTAAGATGGAGAAAGGAGTAGCAACGAACCAATCACACATTGTCTTTCCATGGGCATGCTTTATCATTTGCATCGTTTGCATACATGGCTTATACTGGATGGCTAATGAACCATGCCCTACTTCCACCAAGTATTCCAACCGGATGAATCTCCGTACTATGATACATACTGTAGAGGAGATGTTCGACTGAGCATTAAGAGCGCGCGCAGAAAGCTACCTACTTCATCTTTCTAGGGCGAGGAAGAAGTAGGGACGCACTGGACAGTAGGGACGCACTAGACGGTAGGGACGCACTGGACAGTAGGGACGCACTAGATAGTAGGGACGGTGGAATAATGAGCGCGATACAAGTTACGGCGTCGTAGGAAAATTCAGGCCTTCCTTTATATCCTTTCTAGTATATTCGCACGCCGTCTTAAAGGAAACAATGAGAATCTTTTTAGCCACCGGATAAAGGACGACTCGTCAAGGATAGGCAACTTATATTAATGGCTTCTCTAGTCTTAGACCAGGTAGATGAAACAGACCCGATCACACTTCATTATGCCGTGAAGCCTAGGTAATTATAAGCACCTGGAACGGGTCAGACCCGCTTCTCACTATATGGCCCTGCCATATATAGCCTTCTCCCCGCACGCTCCCGTTTTACCACCGCCTTCCCCTATATTTCTATTGTTATTCTGCTTGTCCCACTCCTTCTCTTCTCCAAGCTTTTTGTAAACAGTTCGTGGCCTAGTTAGATTGAATCAAATCGGCTTCAGCCCTTCACAGCACCCTCTTAGATTAGATATGGATATGTGTAGCTTATAACATAAGACCATTACACCCGAAACCTCATGATTATCCTCACATTATTGATCGCGTTTAGCTGTAACTATGGAAAACTGCGCCTCTCGCGATCCCGACTAGGTTGCTCCAATGCTCAAACATGACCGGCTCGCACTGATTTAATTCTATTGAATTAGGAGGATTTCAATGCCCAATAGGCTACCGATCTGAGGTTTGGCCTATAAGACCCGGATCTTGATCGAATATGCACTATAACGGCATGTTTACTGGCCTATCAGGTTAGTAAGCCAGCGCGGTCGCCAGTTGATGGACAAAGGGCCCCGCTGGCCCATAAGCCAGAGACTACGGGCCAGCTGGGGCCTTTGTCCATCAACTGGCGACCGGTGCTCACAATCGCTAGATCTCAGCCCCTGTCTCTTACGTCACCGCCTTTTAACCATGGTCATTTGGCATAAGCTCTAGGCAGCCGCCTCCAGCTTACTGCCATCGGACATGTGATGCTTGATCACTGGCGAATTTGGATATTGAACTCCTTACATTGGGCCTCGATAGCCTTGAATCAATACGTGAGAGGCTTTAATAGCCTGGTGGCCCATTAAGCCTTTACTACCAGTTCTAATGTCTATAGAGGCTGTCATGCTATGTCTAGTGGACATTCAAGTGGAACGTGGGTTATTAGACGCTTTTTTGTCAATACTGTATGAAAATTCCTTATGCTGCATCCCTAGGAATTATTTGTTAATTCCGGGGAGTGTCAGGGATATACATGAAGTATACAGGATGTTTGGAGAAATGATCTGCGGGACCCACATGGTGCATATGGGTTCCCCTTGAACGCGAGGAAGCCTGTTCCTTTTGCTTCCTCGCGCTACGTCTTGTATCTAGAGTCAACTATAGTTGTTCTTAATATTGATTGTTCATCTCGAGACGCTATCCACCTCTACGTATACGTGAGACCCTCATACCTCTGGGAACTATGATTCTGACTTCTAGGAGCGACAATGAGCGTGCCTGGGAACCATGCTATAGATTCTGGGATCGAATATGATCCCGGGAACGTGAGTCTCCCTCGGGAGATAATAAGCGGGGTCTGGAATAAGTATAATCAATATTAGGAATACAAATTTTAGAACGCGGGTAATAAGAGCGGGCAACAGAAAGAAGAGCTGATTAACTGGGCAAAAATATGGTGCAGACACCGTTTGAAGAGAGGCACGATGTCGATGAACGATAAAATGTAACGGTTATTTGGGAAATGACGAAACATGCATCTTAATAATGCGTTCTACGCTAACGTATTCGGTAAGCGAGTCGGCCATGTAAGCCAGCCGGTCACCCCAAAACACATAGTAAATGCGTTATCTTCTATACCTCTATCTCTACAACCACGTTCTTGTTTGATTCTATTGCTGCTCGATAGCTGTTGATAAGGCTTATATATTGATTTGAAGGAAATCAGAAAGTTACATTATTGTCATTTCAAAAATTACTGAAAATTACGTTGTAAAAAGCTAGAAACATATATATCTCAATCACCAGGTCATGTATGCTTCTAGAACTTCGTAAAGGGAATAGATATCATCTAAAAAGTATTATGTTATAAGAAAAACTCCCTATAGGCCACCGTTGTTGAGATATCAAGTTGTAATTTATCGCATTTACTAACGTATTTCACAAGCGAGTGGTCCAGCCCAAAACACATAGTAAATGCGATAAATTACAACTTGATATCTCAACAACGGTTGTCTATAGGAACTTTTTCCTTTTGACATACTGATTTCTATATGTCTCTTTAGGGAGTTTCGAGAAATTTAATGATTTAGTGACTGAGATATATATATCTTTGGTTTTTGGTAGTGTAATTTTCAATACCATAATAATGCAGTTTTTCGATTTTCTTGAAATTAATATATAGTGTTAAAAGGTCTTATCGATAGCTATCGAATGACACTGAAATCAGATAAAAAACGTGGTTATTAAGATACAGATGTAGAATATATCGCATTTACTATGTGTTTTGGGCTGGACCACTCGCTTGTGTGGACCACTCGCTTATGAAATACGTTATGTGTTTCGGGGTGACCGGCGGGCTTGCGTGGCCGACTCGCTTACCGAATACGTTATCGGTAGAATAAACAAATATAGACACCTAGAGGTACAAGTGGTATAAGCCAACAAGTACAAGGATGGCTTGGATTTGATGCCTGGGGAATCTGGCATAAAGTGGGCATACCATGGGCCCAGAGTATTTTTTCTAGGTAGATAGGATGAAATAATTCTTGCAACAGACTTGGGGGGTGCCTGGGTATTAGGAAATTCGTTTGATTTAGAGTGGAGAGTGTTCCCTAGCCAATCATACTCAATAAACACCTTCCTTCTGTAGTTCAGCTGCTATTTCATCCTAGGATGTCAACATGCATTTGAGGTCATAATACCCCCATCGCTTTTTACTACCCAGCTATATACCATTCAAAGCTTTTGGCTGTCCAGTCAAAGCAAGTACATTAATATGGATTCTACAAGTAGGGTACAATTAAATAAAATTGTACGCCCTAGACTCGTGAATATGTCGTCGTGCTGCACAACCCAAATCCGATGAAAGAGGCTCTTGCTGGACCTGACGTCTGGCGATTTATCTTTGATCCTCTTCTTAGCGAGAGGATCGACGAATTCCAAAAAGTACTTCTTGGGCTGAACTCACTCGGTATCTCTTTCTAAAATATCATTGCAGCCAACAATATCTCTTCCAAGGTTGTATCCCTGACAATGTAGAGCGTGTTACCACACTCAACCTATTTCAAGCTCACCAAAAGATACGTACCGCTAATTTGATTTATCTATATAGTTTGGAAAAGAGTGATTGACTACCTAATCAGGACTTAGATTTGTGAACGACTGATAGAACCAAAAAAGATTGATGCACTTATATAGGTAGTTTTTGACAGAGCATGAACCTTGGAACAAGAGTCCTATACCTGTGCCTATAGGTCTATCGTAACATTGCATGCATGATCACAAAATCCATAACTCTAGAAGCTTCAAAGGCCGTAGTAGATATATTTATAAGTTGTACCCGCTTGGCCCCTCACCATTATAGGGATTGGTCTGCTTATAGTTTTTGACCAACGGCATCCGGATTTCTGCGATGAGATCTTCAAAGGCATCCAATGCGGCCATCACACGATCATAAGTTTCCAGTTTGTTGCCTACCTCATATACTTTAATATACGGGGCCCTTGCATCCCGAATTGCTTCACGTGCCCATTTCCGTGCAACTCGTAGGGCCTCCGTAAAGTGATTATCAGTCCAAAGTGCCCACCAATTCTAGAGGTTGTAAGTCTGCGTCGTCTCTTCGATCTAGCTTAGTGTTTTGAATCCATTCTTTATCACATCGTCAAATCGAGCCTAGAATTGGGCATCCCGAATATACTCGAAGGCCGCGAATGCCTAGCCATATTGGTTAACTTGCTAGTCAGGGGTGATGTGGGACCGGTACTTACCACCTGGAGTTTCGAAAGGAACACGTTAGCTACATCCATCGTATCTGCCTTCGCAGCTTTCTTTACTTCTAATTTGAGCTTTTTTAAGTCGACCGGGTTATTCAACTCGAAGATTTTGCCCTTACGAATATTAAGCGAGTTCTCGACGGCCATAAAGGGGTACGGGTTGTCCTCCGATCTAAAGGCTTCTACAAAACGCTCGTCGGGCCGGGCCGGCTGCTTACCTTTGCTGTTACCCACGGGCGGTTTCTCGGCCAATTTAGCGGAGGCGAAGCTCCATTTAAAGCGCCAGAAATTCTCAGATATCGGTTTAAGCCTTGCAATACGCCCAGAGGACAGTGTACTAGTCGCCATTGATTCAAGTAAGCGGTCCTAAAGTCTCTTGTCAAATGGATGCTCACTATCTAGGCCATCAATCTGTTCTTTAGTCGGCTCGTCCGGCAAGTCTGTGACTTCTAAAACAGAGCCCCCGTAGGTACCGGTCCGTGTCTTAAAAGCCTTCTTAAGCACTAAAGCTGCCTATTTAATAGTGAACAGCTTTCCCTTAGATAGATATTTAGCGATAACCCGAATAATCTAGAACACCCCCACTAGGAGCGAACTTTCCACTCTATTACCCCGTTTGTCGAGACTGGATTCGCTAGGCGAGATAGGCGAGACAGCGACAAGCTGGCTCGCAGCTCGTTTCAGAATATCACTACGATCACTTGTTGAATAGTAGTCGCTATCTTAATCATTACACTTGGTCAAAGTGCATACTACCTTTCTCGTCGGTGCTTTCTTCACTATACAGCACGCTGCTCTTTTTCGGCCCCCTAAATGTCATCGTTAGCTTTCAAACCCCATAAGAACCATGGCGGAAATCTTACAGTCACACCCAATATAGCTATCACCTAGGGTGGAGGTTGCGATCTGGAGCTCGGTGGAATTGCACTTAGCATTCGCGCAATCTTAACCACCACTTCCACCTATCTAGTGACAGCCGGTGAGCTCAACTGGGGTGGGGTAGCAGTATTTTTGCCCTTTAGAATAACAATTGTCGTACAATTTCAAGACAGATTCTTTTCCGCTCGGGCATTCCTTTCCACTATATTCAACGTTAGATAGTTCAACGGCAGACTATCAGTCTTTCACTTACCATTTAGCCCAAGAGCACCCCTTAGTGACTTCCTAGTAGTCAGGGTCCGGACAGCAGAATACCTTATATCCGCGACCGTATTTGTCGGTGTTGCCGTCGTTAGTGTACCCACCACCCCATAACGAACGAATGCCATTAACATTGATTTCCCCCGCTAAATATTGCCCACTACAATCTGAACTGGAGCCGAGTTGACTAGTGTCGTCACCGCGCCATTTGTAGCCTTTAGGAGCGGCACCGTGGGGGCAACAAATTGGCTTACCACAGTGCTGAATGCCGTTAGTTCCGAAGACACATTCTAAAGGGCTCGCACTTACGCAGCTTGACTTACCACATCCAGCATCATCCTAGCCAACGACGGTGTAACCGTCGCCATAGGCATTCGACATGGCCTCAGTGTTATCCAGTTTGATACACTTCTTTATATACTTGAAACATTTCTATCTAGTAAAGGCTAATAAGTCTATAATAGTGGACTTAGCGTTCGACACCGCTTTATTCTCAGCCTAAAGCGTATGTGTTGAAATAATACTTCTACCGAGAAGGCCGGTATAGGCGGAGTATTTATCATCATCTGGGTTCATCGTTAGTGCGTGTGTTCATCTACATGGTATATTGGGAATAGTCATTTATACCCAGATCCGACGCCTAGACTATTACACCTCCCAATCCAAGATCATTTGCCCAATCAACCTTTTGCTTAAACGTTATCTTGTCATCATACGAGACCTATTAATTATCATCAAACGTAAAGTAGTTGACTACAGCCTCTTTATCGTGGGTCGGTGAGATAGTGGCCCTTTTGGTCGAGGTTCCCTATAAATACTCATAATCTCATAGTATGCAAGCATGCCACTAGTGTCTGAATAGGGCCCAGCGTCTAAGGCACCACTAAAGGCACACCCGGGCTTCGTGCAGCTCTTGTCCTATAGAGTGAATGCACGACCATAGAACCCAATGCCTAACACCACCTTAGCGGGAGGGATATCGACTCTCCAAAAGAGATCTAAGGCGCTCTTAATCTCGGTCAGATTTGTATATCCTTGGACAATACTACCAATAGGATCTTGAGAATCCTAGACCCCATAGAGATCGTACGACATCACGTTAATCCAGTCAACGTGCTTCACCATATTTGGCAAGTCAAACCAGCGGAGATACCAGTATAAAGAGGGGGCAGTGAAGGTCAGACCAAATATATTCCCACTCGCATCGAACGTCTCTCTTAGTGTCTTTAGCAAAATGACATAGTTCTCCGTATCTTCGGCTTTACCGCCTCTATCGCCTACGCCAGGATATTCCCAATCGAGATCGACACCGTCAAACCCTACCATACCCAAATTAGTAAAATATAGATATATTAAAGGGCGGGAGATGTACCGTATTACTTCATAAAATGTATAACGTTGTTTACGAAGGTCTTCTGCTTAGCCTCAGAAGCCGAAATCTCCCCAAACAAGGGTTGTGTGTTAGTACCGTTGTCGGAGAATGTCCACCCTCCAATACTAATAAAGACACTAATATCTTCCTTAACAGACTTGATATTAGTTGTATCTTAGAAGAGACTAGTTGGAGTAGACGAGTCTATCGCGACCACTTCATACGTGGACGGATCGATTAAGGCGAATGCAAAGTTCACACTATATTAGTTGTTAGAAGTCTTGCCCTTTTATAAGATAGATCACAAATAGAAAGTGCGCTCACTAAGTCAATACATCTAACGGCAAGTCGGTCGGTTTAATCTTGTGGCAGGCCTTACGGGCCATCCATGCCTCGTAATATCCAATAACCCTATTGTTTAGGATATCCAGCGAAGCTTTTCCGCCTAGAATAGTAACATTGAGAACACAATTGCTTTAATATCCAGCTTTAAGGTGTTAGTAGCCGAATAAATTAGTTGAATTAGTAGAGACGTACTTTTACAAAAGTCCGTTATCGTTCCGCACTTTAAACTCATTAGTCGGTAATTAACACCTCGTCGTAGGCTAGTGTACAACTTACAAAGCCAAACTCACTACAGCATGTATTAAGTGGGCAGGTCTTGCCTAGTGTTAATGCATCCTTTCCACACTCTATAGTAGCATTACAGTTCGACACACAACCCGTACCGTAGTATGTTAAACCATAACCACAGTATCCACCAGCGCCGCAACAGGCACCATTACTATAGGGGTTACTAGCACTACAAGAATAATCATCCCGCCGAGCAAGGGCATCAATTGGTTAAGTGTTCACAATTTCCATTAGGGAATCACGACGAGAAAGGATGTTAGAATTGCGCAAATATTTTGAATCGTGCGGCCAAAAGAATACACACAACAGACCAAGTATAATAGCAAAGAAAACCTATAACGAGCGCCCTCGTCTAAGATAGGATCCCTAACCACCAGCCATAGTAGGAGAATCGCTTGTCTCCCAAGCTGACTGATTTCAGTCAAAAAATAATTAAATTTTAAAGAAAGGGAAACCAAAAAGAAGTGTATATCGAAGAAATGAATGACTAGGTCAGGATTGATAGGAAAAGAAAGAGATTCAAAGATAGACAACTTTCAACAGCGATTTATAGACTTTGGAAAAAGACGCTCTTTTACAACATACTATCGATCAAGCCCTAGAGGGAGAAAAATTACCCATCGTTTAATAAAATTTCGTTTTCTCCTTCGGTACGACTATACAAGTTAGTAGCGCATCTTCTAGTGCACTTTTTAGAAACATTAGAAACATATAGATTCATATCAAAATTAGGCCACATCCATATTCGCCAAAAAGTCTACTACCCACCATCGGGCCAAGGGAGAATACAGTATGGTCTCAAACCTTAGAGTTGATAGCTGGAAGCACTTACATAATTATACCCTATAGGGGGCCAAAATGTGGACCTTATACGGAGCGGCCCGGCTAGTAAAACGAAAGTTTCTCCCGGATCTCCCGGTATAAAAAACTAGAGCTACTAGTTGTGAAGTAGTAAAATTCTTTCAATTCAACTAGTGGTTTTGAACTCGAAAGTCGTCCGTATCAACCATATAGCCCTTATAATCTGACCTACACTCGGCGGTTCGTACTATATATATAGTATGGTATCTATAAATGTCATTATCAGGACCACTTCCTAGCCCCCTAGTTTCAGGGAGTGGATCTAACCAAAAAATCGAATAAACGGACAATTCTTAGCTATTAGAGTTTGACTCTAGCTCCAGTACTAGGTAGGCAGCGGGGCAATATTGGTAGAAGAGACGTTCGTAAAGGCCTTGATTGGAAACTCGGTGTAAAACTTCCTTAAGCGGGTTGATTAAGCCGATATTGGTACCCGCACTAGGTAGAAAGTATAGAAAATAAGATAATACCAAGGGTTGTTGTATAAAGTTCGCCGAGGCTGTTTAGTTTAGTCTAGTTTGATTCACTCGGTTTTTATTCTTTTTTTAGTGATTGAAATTTTGCCGAATAGCTCAACCGGCACTCTAGTTATAGCCATCCCACCTTATTTTAGTTTAGGTTTTTTCCCCCCTCGTTTTTAGTCTGCTCTATATATAGCCTTAACATAGGCAAAATGCGTGGGCTTTAGACTACCATAGGGGCTCTACTGATTCCAGTAGCACTAGGCTAGCAGCCTATTGGAATTCAGGTTTTTACGAACTATACGGGTCTTACCGACGTTTGTAAAGATGCCCTAGCCACGAATATGACTTATCCTCTATTCCTCCTCGTGGTTTCTCCAGAGTAAGTTAAAAAACAATATACGCATACGATTACATACTAAAACGAATAAGTAATGCTATTCTAGACGAGGAGCAAGTCACTAAATTATATGTCAATGATTGTTACCCGTCATTGAAAAGTGCTAGAGCTACCATTCAATCAGCATACACCGAAGATACCGATATGATTGTCTACGAGGATATAGCTTATCCAGCTACCTTTATCGCCGACAAGTACCTGTTCACTTATAATGTCTCCTACCGCAAGGATGAGTGAGTGACGCTACTAGTTGATCTTTATTAAACTCTGACCCTAAGCTTTTCCCCATTAGGTCGGGCAACTACTGTGATCCTCAATTTCTATCTTAGGCAAACCTTTCCGCTATACCAAGCATAAATGCTTCATGCTCAGAGTGTTGGCTAGGAGTATTGGAAACTCAACTCAACAGCCCCTTAGGCTATAACGAGGGAATGGAAGAGACCTTTAGCTCTTTAACATCAAGCTGTAGTGCTTTAGGCTATTCCGTCACTTCTCCAACCGCCTATACCCTTAATACAACGGCAACGGCAACGGCAACGGAAACTTCGGCTACTACCATAAGCACCACCACATCAACTTGCCTAAGCTCGTATCAGGTGCAGCAGTCAGACGATTATAACTCCGTGATAAAGTCATTAGGCGTCTCTACCTACTCATTATTGCATACCAACAATCTGGACCTATACTACCAAGGTTTCGCTAATATGGTGAACCAGACTCTCTGTATTCCCCTATGGTGCAACACTTATACCTAGAAGGGTACTAATATATGCGACAGTGTCGTTAGTCCTCTCGGCAACGTGACTATTCCACAGTTCCTTATATAGAATCCCTATATCAACTCTCTATATCTTAATAGCGATTTCTTTATTGGATATAAGGTGTGCTTGAGGTAAGCAATTTTGCATTTCCTCTAACTTGGATATATGTAGGATATTTGACGGGTATACTAATATGCTATTATTAGCCCTCCTAGTGGCTATCTAAACCACAACACCAGTGACTCTAATTCAGGCTCCACTTCAAATGCGACTACTACAGATGCCACTAGCGCCGCGCTAGTTCCAACTAATGCCCTAGATAGTAGTAACCACAACTATAGTCTGTGGTACACGGTGAGTGATCGTGAATTCTTCACTTCCGGAAACATTCCCGTCTAATAATTTACTAATCGATATATAGGTCTAAGAAGGAGATACCTACGCCCAGGTTTCGATAGCATAGTCTATTTCACTAGCAGATTTCTACTTTTTAAACTCAGAGATTGACGCCAACTACACGAATCTCGAGCTAGGCGAGGCTTACTATATCAAACCTGTTGGTTCAATTACCAGCTACGCCAACTACACCCTCACTAGGTTCTTGCCTATCATAGTCACCCCCGCCACCTTCTCTTCCGTGAATACCGACATCCCCACCACTACTAGCTATCCTGGTTTTGTGTATACTAAGCCCACACAACTCCCCACTACTCCAGACACCCTTTCGGGCTGCTATAAATACGCAAATCCCTCTAACATTACCAATCTCTACCGGGACCTCGCAACGGACTATAAAATCTCCATAGACCAATTGGTGGAGTGGAACCCAAGCCTCTCAAACAACGAGTCGACCTATACCCTCACAATAACGTATAGCTACTACGTTCTAGAGTACGCGAACAGCACGGGTAAGTGATAAGGATAATCCCAACATACGGATCAATACTAACTATAGATTAGCGACGGAGCCTACCGTAACCAATTGTCTTTCCATCAACGCCACGGAGAGCGGTACTACCTCTAACTGCAACTATTTCACTTCCGTTGATCTCTATAACTCCCCAGGTATGCGCTCTAATACTCTTTAAAGAGTGGGCTTCATTAACCATATCTAGATTACATATGCGCCGACATTATCTCCGACTATAGGGTAACATTAGCAAATCTGCAGACCTAGAACACATGGCTATCAGATGACTACGACACTTCCCTCTATTCCGGCCTCAATGTCACCGATTCTCGCGCCGTCTGTATCGGTGTTGGCTCCACGAATGTGACCGCCACTTCGACCGCCACTACGACCAGCACCGGAACTTCCACCCAAACCACGGCATCAATAGGTCCCACTCAGACTAGAGTTGTTTCAGGATGTCAGAAATTCTATACCGTGGTAGACGGTGATAACTACTCGACGATTGAGAGTGAGTTTGGCATCAGCCTTACGGAGTTCTACCAGTGGAACCCAAGCATTAGCAGCACTTACGGCTCTCTTTGGCTGGGCTATACATACTATATCAAGGGTCCAGCCTCGACTACCACAACCACGGGACCAAATGCCCCGACACAAACAGGCATCGTATCCAATTGCGATAAATATTACACGGTGGTGGACGGGGATTCATACGCCCAGATTGAGACAACATATAGGATTAAATTTGCACAGTTGTACCAGTGGAATCCCGCGATTAGATCGGACTACCAGACCCTGGTAATTGGGTATTCGGTTTGTGTAGGAGTTTCTGCTAAGACTACTAAGCGGAAACGGACGGAAAAGCTCGATCGATTAAAGTCTCCGAGAGAGAAAGAAGGAAGAAGACATCTACATCTACACAACCGGGCTATTTAGGGCGCGTGCCACCTGCCTAATCCCGACAGTTTTTGTTGAGATTCTAGTTGGAGGTAGTTTTGGAGATATGTGGTGAACTAAAGAAAGGAGGACCTTTAATCTACTGTAAATTACCAAGTATTACCTCGGGTATTTACTATAATTTATCCCTTGAAACTTCTAACATCAACCTGAAACATTAGGGTCTCCACTTATATACCGTGATATCTAGAGCTATAGAGTCCGGAGTACTCCGTAAACTACAGTGGATCATACATACATCAATGCAACCTCAAGAAGATGATATTGTATTCTGCTCAAATGAATGTTTTACCGCAAAACATACCGCCTATTGCGTTCTCTTCAAATTACATCCTCCATACGGAGTATGATAGATATAGATTCAGACAATAAATAGATCAAGATAAAATGTACTCAAGAAAAAAGCGAGAAACTGATAAGTGGAGATACCTATAGCCCTAGAGAGTTAAAGAGGGAAAAATGGGTTGTATAGAGCACTTGACGGGATAATCTAAGATCAGGTCAAAGTTATAAAAGCTTGTTATTTATTTCGGTGGAGTACAATGATAGTGAATTAATGCATTTCTTTATAAATTTGATTGGTGCGAGCTATACGAAATGGTATAAATTACGCGCGTGACTTGTGCAAAATCGGCAGAATTCAGTGTGATCCTCTTCCGACTTGGTCTACTCCGTACCGCAGCTAACATTGCCCTAGACCCAACTTGATTTCTTCCAAGATTTCTTCATTTCCTTTTCACTAAATGATTCCAAGACTTTTTCGGAAGCAATTATTTAGGTGTTCCAGCCTTTCAACTCGTCCCATCCGTTTTCCTACCAGAACTGGCCCTTCACAGCTCACCAAATCATTCTCAAAAGCAATAAGTTCCTCACGTATCCCCGATTATGAAATCGAAGAACCATCAAAACGGGATCCCACTATGGAAACATGCTTAAATGCCGCAGACATCCTAGAACGGCTTCTCCAAAAAGACGGATTCACAAAGTGGGGCTTCGTTATCTATCGCTGCACATATCAAAGCCAAAAAGACTGGGAAAGATTCATAGCTCGCTTCCTCCAGTCCGTCACAGAATACCTCGAGTCCAGCAAGGGTCTAGACATGCTAGAAGGGTTTACCCCAACGGTCTTTAAAGACCCCTCATTTGATAGTGCGACTACCGCTATTCTCCGCACCCATTTCAGGAAGTGGGCTACGACTGCACCGCTGCAGGAACAGGGTGTCGATACTTTCGGAAAGTCGGGTCGCTACAGATTTTTTGTCATGGTCGACCAGGAGGCGCTAGAGTCTGTCTTGAACTCGGACCCGGATGCCATGACGCAAACCGGGTTTGTTCGTCTAGTTTATGGAGAATGGGAACCGGAGGTAAACGAAGATGGCAATGAGTCAGTCGATTTGGATGAGGAGCTTGAGCCCCTAGAGGGATGCACGCAGGAAGATGTTGGTTGGATGAAAGTGCCTTACGATGAGGTGCAGGGGATTGGAGCCACGGCAATGTGCGATATGCACGACTGGGATATGTATTATGCTCGTCCTCCAGAAATGCAGGCCTTGGGTTGACCTTACAGTGTCCACAAGTGGGACCGGAGGTTGGTTTAGAAAATATGGGAATCGGACTATGTATTTTGAGAGCTTCAACGGTATTGAAAGTTGCATTTATAGGTCTATATAATTTTCTTCTCTAACAAAGCGAACACATTTGTAACTGTTACGAGGTGTGGTAGCCTGCGCCCCTAGGTAGACAGATCTCTCTCTCTCTCCCCCTCTCTCCCTCTCTTAATCGATCGAGAGTCTCTGGTTTCTTCCTCTCTAGTAGGCTCTAATAGTAACTGCATAGTTGTTAAAATGCCATAAGTACGTACGTATCTACTTGGTACTTTACCCCATTCTAGGCATCTGGCTTTATTACGACTAGCACCTAGGCGTACTAAACGCGTAGGCTAAAAAGACCAAAGATGATAGAATGCCATGTTCTATCATGCCTGGGACCGATATGTGTAGCGCACTCTTAGTCGTTCCTAATATAACGCATCTAAACCAAGGTCTCTTTCGATTGCTTGCTTTTTTCTATTACTACCGCTGCGCCTATCAACAATGGGAGCTGCTTCCCCGCCTAAGGCCACTTTCCCTTTGCCACCATATAAATCTAAGATTACGGCTTTTGAGGATACGTAACACCGGCCATTACCTACAACCTTCGAAGAGCTTCTTGCTCTACGCTCTGAAGAGCCACCTATAGATGAAAGCATAGCGAACGACCCCGATCTGACTATCGAGGATCTTAAATTCCCACCCCGGATGGAATGGAGTCGTTAACGCCATATCTCTGTCCAGCCGCCATGCCTCCGGCCCAAAGAGCCCTCGACCGGGTATTCTATTCTGTCGCGGAGGCAGGCGCGTGATAGGCAACGTCTACGTTAGTCTCAAGAGTCTGGTTAAGACCGTCAAATAATTGAACGCTATGGTAATCAGCATCAGCTACCGACTATCGCCCGACTATCTCGGAATGTACGCGGTTAAAGACTACTAAAACCCGCTCCTTTAGATATCTCGAAACTTTGACCAATTCAATATCGATCCTAATCGCTTCATGATTTCAGGTGTATCAGCCGGTGTAGGTCTAGCAGCAGGTGCAGTCCTTCTTTTAAGAGACCGCAGCGGCCTCAAGCTCTGTGCACAACTGCTCATATATCCCATGCTCGATGATAGATGCAACACTACATCATGCCTGAAGTTCGAGAATCGATATAGATTCTACACAGTCTGGGATCGTTACGCATAGTCTCGCGTACTTGGAGACCAGGCCGGTACCGCTGATGTAAGCCCATATGTGGTGCCTGCTCGTGCCACCCATCTCTCTAACCTACCTCTGGCCTACATTGATGTCGGCTCTGGGGAGCCATTCCAGGATGAGGACATCGCATATGCCACGGGATTCGCGATAAGGCAACGGACAGTCGTTCTGCGACATTAGGGGCTGTGCAAATGTAACCTCAGATGGGGCGGATGGGGCGGGGCATGCGGCATCGAAGATAATATGCCGGAACTTTGCAGATGCGATGGAGGCCGGTGGATGATGACGCTCAACGAGCAAGGCGCTCTAGCAGAGAAGGCGACCTAGATAGCTTCGTAGCACAGTGTACTGTCACACCCCTGGAAAAGAGTAGGAGGGAGTATCGACACGAAACCGAACGATGCGGCTGCGGGATGGATCATCCCAGGGGTTCTGCTCCTGGGCGACTGGTATGGCAGCCTATGCCGGCCAGAACGAGTTGGGCGTCGGATGGAGCGGCATCTCCGGTAAAATGAAAGGGGCAGTGCGTCGGGCTGAATGCCAATGCGTAGTGGTTGGCGGAGGCGAGAAAGAAAGAAAGAAAGAAAGAAAGGGGGCGGCGATGGGTGCAAGATAGAGGGGATGGAGAAAGGAAAGAGGGTGAGATTGGGTCTTTAAGTCGGGAGAGCATTGAGCGGAGGTTACGTGACGACGTATTGAGACGCTAAACCCAAAACGGCAAAACTAACCAGATATAGTAATTCGCAGGTCCGCCGTTTACATCCTCAATCGGATCCTTCTGGCGTGTCATGTCATTGTCCAACCTCAGCAAGATGGTTTTGTCTCGTTCGTACGTCGTTGGGGATTAGCCAGAAAGAGAAATCAATTTTTGTTTTGTTCTATTCATTCTTTAGATTCCCTCGTAAACTCACATTAACCTTTTTGTACAACATGAAGCAATGAGGGCCGTAGACCGAACATGAAAAAGCAAAATCAAAGTGCTACGCCTCTAGTAGTCCGGATGCTGATGCAAGTTCAGTACCTATGTGTTGTTGTCTTCTACGCCTATATATTTAGCTTGAGGCCTATTAGTTCGGAGCTGTCATCTTCCTCTAGGTCTACCTGAATATGGATATATGCTGGAGTAAGGATAACTACTTGGTGCATCAACGCTCCAATAATTAATTCCATGACAGGTTTTGTTCGCCTTCCTAATCTCCAACAAAGACAACAGGATTCCGTTATATGAAGAGCTAAAAGAAAAGTAATATAGCAAAACATCAGCGGATCAAGACCTAACTATTCAATCGTCACAACCTCCACAATCTCTATAATCCTGGTCATAGGTCAAGTCAATATCCCCTGGATCGCAGTCATAGATGCCATAGTCATCAAAGGAACGCCCAGCATAATAACACCCATAGTCCTCAATATCCAAGTAGCTCTGACTCATACGGCCGTCATCATGGGAAGTAACCCGAGTCTCATATAGAGGCGAATATGACCCTGCATCTTCATCTTGAGCTACCTCAGTGTCAATCGTAGGCAAAGACGACACAGGCTCGTCTTTGTCACCTTCTTGGTTGGTACATTCAGTCCCATTGCCAGGTGAAGATATCTCAGGATCTTGGTTTGGGTCTTGGTTTAGGTCTTGGTTTGGGTCTTGGTCTTGGTCTTCGTTGTGTCCATCACTATCAGAATCATGAGACCCAGTCTCAACAGTAGTCGAAGACGGCACACTCTTGTCGAAAGCCGTTGAACTCCCAGTTCCCCAGTTAGGTCCACATCCAGATCCTAAGCTAGATCCCCATGCAGAGCCGTACCCCATCCCCGTTCCGTATCCATAGCCTGAGCTAGCTGTATGTCCCACGCCAGACCCCGTTGATTCCAGCACAGTTCTTGATCCCGACCCTGATCCAGATCCAGATCCAGATATTTTGTGCTTGATCGCATTCTCAAGCTGCTTTAGCGGTCTCGCAATACTAGCTCGCCAATGACTCGAGCTCCCCGTACTCGCTTCGTAGATGTGAAGAATAAAAGATCGATTGTGTTCGGTGCATCGGAAGCTTTCGCGTCTGTTAACAATGTCAATAAGGATACAGGTATACCAAGACCGAGCGACGAGAAATCCATGGATGTATCCAGGTTTGGGTCTATGCAACTCACTCGTCGATCTTCACAAAATCCGCATCCACAATCGCGTCTTTGGAGACTTCTTCGAAACTCCCGTGCTCGTCGCTTGCGACGAAGTACCGGACTGACTCTATCGTACCGCTGACTTGGCGCACGAGCTGGATGCACACGCTGGCTTCGGAGGGATCGGTGGATCCTGTTTGACTGTTCGTTGTTGTCAGGGCCCATTTGGTGAATTCGGTGAAAGTTTGCTCGTGGTCCGGGTTTGGGAGTTTGGTGGGATGGAGGCTGTTGCAGCAGAATAGATCTGACATTTTGGCGGTCTGGTTTGAATGGGCTTTTTGTATGAGAAGATGATCGTAGGTGGGCCGGTAATATGGGAAACTTATTTGCTACTAGTAGGAACTACGACTGTCTATCATGAGGTGAGGTCGTCAGGATGTGATAATTAGACTCCTACTCGATTTGGAAACGGAGCTGCTATTCCCAGGTACGTAGTGAACCAGGGCTAATGGGCGGCTATTACCGGGAAAGGAGATGCTATGCCTCTTTCAATGTTGTACTTAAGGTTGAGTTTAGGATATTTTCGAAAGTCTATGGCATCCATGGATCCATGGTGGGAGGTTCTGTACCTCGGCGGACATCTATGCTGTATGCGTCATCATATATTCGAGAAAAAGTAATCAAGAGGTTGTCATTGAATTAATTAGTATTACCAATGGCTGTGACGTCAATAAGACATAAGAAAAGGACTAAATATACAAGCATTTTGTAAAAGCGCAATATCGTATCACAGAGATGCTCGTATTACTTCCAATCGTTCAAGTCGTCCAAAAGATCATCACTAGAAACGATTAGCTAATGAGCACATTTGAGCTTATTTCGACTGTACTCACCCAGAGTCTTGAATGGGATAGCTGTGGTGGCCATCGAAAACATAGCCGCTGTGGGTATTCTGGTTCGGCCCCGGGCCCTTGGTCGCCTCCTCGTGGATGGTGACATGGTGATCGTGCGGTTTGTTGGGACTGTCGACATAGAAGCTTGTGTCGTCCACATGAGGGACCGGCCAGTAATCATTGGCGTTATGGGCGCCGACGTTAGGTGCATACGGCTTGGGAGAGGGTTTTGACACTGGTGCTTGTGACGATTGCTGAGACGGATGCGCAACAGCGGGAGTTTTGGTGCCCTTGATTGGGGTATACAGAGCGCCGCGGCTGCCGGCCTTAGCCTTAGTGTCAAGTCCGGTCATGTCAAGACCAGCCTTGCCAGCGGCATTGCCGCTGACAGGTTGGGGGAAGGCAGCACAGGTGTCGTAGTGGCTCTTCGGGGGAGCACGCAAGGTGTGGTGGAAGGTCTCCGGGGCCTCGATGATGGTGGCCATCAAACCAACCTCGACATGCCACTCCACGTGGCAGTGGAGCATCCAGACACCTGGGTTATCGGCGCGGAAGCGGATCACGGTGTGGCCGTTGTTCTGGACCATGATGGTGTCTCGTCGGATCGGGGTCGTGGAGACGTTGCTCGTTAGTCCCTTGTAGAAGCCGCCATCAACTGGGGTGCGCTGCAGAACCTGGAAGTGGTGGCCGTGCAAGTGCCATGGGTGCAGGTTGTTGTGGTGGTTGTTGATAACGATCTCGACGACTTCGTTATGCTTCACGACGAAGGGGTTTACTTGGCCATATACTTCAGGGTTGGAAGAAAACTCGGGACCGACTGTGTTGGCGGTGTATAGAGATGGCACCTTGGGGGAGATGTAGGTCTTGCCGTTGACAGTGAAGCGCGGAACACCGTCTACCAGTCCGCCGCTGGTATCCAGAATGATCTGGCGGTCCACGGGCTGGAGCAAGGGCGCGTGGTCTGCTGGTACCAAATTGACATCATCCACGAAGTCAGTTCCGAAGTCGATGTGATGGAAGACAGGAGGCTCGGGCAGGGGCTTCGCCTCGTCGTACACCAACCAGGCGGTGGCGTTGGGGTTGTAGTTTTGTGGGATGGTGCGATTTTCGAAGATAAACATCATGTTGACATCCATAGTATCCCAGATAGCAAAGTTCTGACTAGCATCAGGCTTAGTCGTAATCAATACACTCATACGCTGACCAGTTGCAACCCGCAAGAACTTGTCGCCAGCGGGGTGGGGTTCAGTATAGACGCCGTCAACCGCCACAACAGTCATTTCGTGGCCATCGATCACCCAGAAGTGGCCAGGCCAATTTCCAATGCAGATGATGTGAACAAGATACGTCTTGTTAGGCAGAACTTTGATCTTGGTGTTGGTTGAGTCATTGATCAACGCCGAGTCAGGAAGCGGCTCTTGGCCATGGGGCGCCACACTGGCTGCATCGAGCAGCCCTGGCATCTCCTGGTGGTACCAGTCGCTTAGGGTGAGTGTCAACTCATCATCATAGTGGAAAGGAGGGTTAGGATCATGGACGATCAGAGCACCACGCAATCCATCGGGGTACTGTCCCATGTTGTGTGAGTGATACCAGTATGCCCCAGCTTGGTTGACCTATATTGTAATTAGAACGTACTCCTCTCTCTGGCAAGAATCACCTACATCGAAGTGATATTGCATGTGCGAGCCGGGAGCAATCGGGCACTGAGTGACTCCGACAGCACCATCCATAACACCAGTTCCATGCTGGCGCATGCCGTGCCAGTGGATAGCCGTGGACTCGTTTCCAAGACCATTGTAGACATCGACGATCAGTTGGTCGCCCACGTCCACGTCAATCTGTGGACAGGGCCATTGGCCGTTGATACCAATAACTGGGCGTTCAAAGCCATCCGGGGAGGCATTAACCCAAGTGAGCTTCCAGTCCAGATAGACGTCCTTGGCTGCGGCTAGGCCAACCCAAGTGGCCAGCGCGAGCAGGCTGAGCTTAGCCATTGTATCAGTATTAAAAGAGCTAAAACGATTGACAGCCTGAATCAGAAGGATATTAAAACCCTCCAAAAGAGTGTATACAAGGTCGGATCAACTAGAAAGCAAAAACGAATGTAGAAGAACACGGTTGTCGAAATGGCGCAGTTTGGGCGCTGTGCTGGATGTCGAAAGAAGAAAACTGGAAGCAGGGCCTCTTTAACCATGGCAATAAAAAAACAAAGGTGATCCTGTCGATCTACAGGGGCCTGAGTATGCTAGTCGGGCCGGGTCCCATTTCCACGCTTGCGGTGATGACATTGATCGTCCCTTCATTCAAGGCCTTCAAGGGCTAGGAACCGGAATAACAAAGCACATAGTAGAGCAGTATCGAGCTCAGAATTTGGTTGCACTTGTTTTTCTGTTGAAGAATGCCCTAAGTGGCCTCTGAAGGGCGGAATGTAGATAATTCCCCTACTGGACCTCGTGAACGCAAGGGGGACATACTCGAGTCATACTCGAGTTGACAGGCTTAGTCTGGAGCAAACAGGGTATGAAATTTAGAATTTAGTTCTATTATTGAATAGAACTATGAGACATTGACATCTTTGCCAGGCCTAATAGATTCCAAGATTGGGCAGGATCATGATGGTTGATATAAGCTTCTTTAGCGAGTTATATAAACTCCGTGGAGACGACACTACAGAGGCGACCGCTATTGCCTTTGTCAGACGGGATATGGCCCCCTAGGCTATAAACAGAGACCTTGGTTTTTTTTCCGTCATCTAGTGGTAAAATTGCCGTATTATTCTCCGTCAGCCTTCCAAATCGGAAACATAGAGACGCTCTTTCAAACCCTAATCACATGATGCGCTAATCCAGAAGAGAGTATCGCGTAAATAACCAGTTTTGTACCTGTAAGGTAATAATACCAAATCTTCTATGATACCCGTTTGATAGAAGATCCAAATAGAGGTGTTAGAATGTTCTATGCAAATCTAGCAAGCGCTTGAACTAATATTCTGTCGAAAACTTTTCTGTGCACCTCGCAGTTGCTTCGCTGCGGAGAGTTGCTTTCCTGGAGTCCATCTGGGGTCCAGTTAATAGGCAAGGCTTTACAGTAAAGTAAGGCCTCCTTCGAAATCTTCGCCACTACTCCTACGTTCTCGATTATTTCTTGAAGCCTAATGCCGAGTTCCACTAACCCTTATCCGGAATAAATGTAGAATAGCCATATTTTTCTATCGTTATTATACGATATTTCCAAGGTTTACTGCAGTCATTACATGACTCAGGTCGAGTAACCGTATGAGTAGTCAGTGGTAGCTAGGACTTGTGATGGAAAAGCTGTCATTTTTTCCACCCCAGTGTCAACAATACGGTGGCTTGCTCGAAACCAGACAGCACCAACTGTTGGATTAATCTGCAATACCTCGCTTACATGCATACTACTCATTATCCTGCTTATCACCCACTCAGCTTACCAGAGACTTCGTGGCCTGTGGCGAGCTGACATGCGATGGTGCTCTTACTAGGCTTGTTCGACAGGTTATAGGGCAGGGATGTCTGCCATGCCTTAGGATCCCTAAAGCCCGTTCTTTCTTCCCTCCCAAGCAGGATCCTCATTGATATCTTCTGCGTTGAGGGGATGACTTATCCTGCTTCGATGGTGGTGATACTATATGTAATTGTCTGCGTTGTTCATCTTTGCTGCTGCACGCCACCGAGGTTTCTCAAATAACCGATAGAATTCACCTCATCCGTTTGCTCTGGTACCCCTCATTTTCACTCAAGCTGACATTTCCAATCGACAGCATCTCCAGGGCTGCCTCGAATTATCCAGTACCGCAGAGAGTTTAACTGATACGGGAGATCTCTCTTCTCATACACTCTCCGTCCAAATGGCCCGATTTGTTTTCATACCTGAGGACAGCGACGAGGAAAGGTGGCGGTTGGTCCGCAAGAAAGAGAAGCTAGCAACCAACAGGAGGAAACCAGAATCGATCACGCTGCATTGTTTCACAAGGCCGAGCAACAGGCTGCCGAACGCAAAACCTGGACCAGGGTACCGGAGAGCGCCATTGTCCTTATTTGATATTTTGTGGCTGACTGATTCACTGAGCACTTCCCATCTCTTAGATTCCGCGTGACGCGATCCTACCGGAGACACTGAGCGCCTATCACATACCGTGGGAACCGGATGATGTATGTCACAATACTTTGGCGCCAAGGGCCCTTATCAATATCAGGCATCGTTGACCATGACTGCCAGGTCTTCAGCGACCATATCCTTATCAAGCAGAAAATCTCGGAGGAGTTACTGGACAGGCTCTTGGTTGGTACGGACTGCGTAAGAAGTCACCCCTAACCGTCCAACCGACCGCATCGGTGGTTAGTCAAAAACTGCCCACTAGTTCCTCCTACTCCCGGGGCAATGGCACCAACCGAGGCGGAATCCCCGCCCCGGACCACGGGGTTCCTATGACTGTCCCTAAAGAGACCATTCCGGTCCCCATTCTTGCTCCCGAATTCGAGGCCCGCGAAATGGTCGATCGCAGTGCCTGGATCCATGGTGGCAGCGGCGGGGTCATGACCTGTCACTCATTCCCCAACTCATGCGACAATCAGCGGACGGGCGCACCGGGATCTTTGACGACAGTAAACCCATCTGCTCTATTAATCTTCTATGCTACCGGCAGGGCCACAACAGACTGCTTAAGTACCAGATCTGCGTCATCAGCAAAGCCCGATGCACCGATACCGGTGAGTTCGAGCGTCTCATCGCCGCCGAACCTGGCCTCATTTACACCGACGAGCGGTTCTTTCATGTCCTGCGGTTGACGTATCGGCACTGGATGTGCAGTTTCTGGAGACGGTGGTGCTACCTCAAGAGCTTGCGAGAGATCCGATTACCGCTAGTATGTGCTGACCCTCCTACGATGATGGTGATGATGGTGATGGCGATACGATAACAGTTCACTCCACACGATCTCCGTCCTAGACCTGTATTAGTCCGTGACTCTCTCCTGCAGAAGATCTTATCTGCGTACCAGAAACCATCGAAACTGGGCTCTTCCGACAATTGGATCCAATGGGTGTTCGAGCTGCGGCAACCGCACCGTCGACATGCGCTGGAGTTTGCTGAAGCCTGGAGCATCGCAAGAGTCCTTGTGGCTGGTTCTGTTCCTTTGATCGGGTCCACACTTGTGGGAATTATCTGGGCTACGCAGGGAGAAGACGTTGGGACGACGTTTACGGTTGCTTCGTTGGTCTTGGCTGGTGAATCTTGTACCTCTCTCTCTCTGAGTGCTCTTTGTTCAAAAGATTGATTCTAACTGGTCTGGAACAGTCTTACTAGCGATCCTGGCAGTTGTCAGCGGCATTGGAAGGTCCGGAGATCAGCAGTGAGGCGGTTGAGATGCGGGGCACTAGGAGGAAATGTTTCCCATATGAAGCCTGCGCGGGTTGATACAGAAGGCTAGTTGAACTGTTCTTTTGCGCCGATTACTTTTTATCTAGGATTGCATGGAGACTACCTTGTAGGGAAACACTAGGAAGGAATTAGGGAAATTGACGCCAGAAGCGAACAGTACGGCAAAAGAAACACAAAAGCCCAAAGCAGACACGTTACAGGCAAACCTCCGGAAGGCTGGGTATTCTTACTATGTAAATACGAAACCGGTAATTTATGTCTAATCCACATTCGGTTTGGCGCATCATGTGACTATACGGTTTGAAGAGTATCTGTGTTTCCCGACATGGAAAGCCATAACGGGTACCACTGTAAAGCTATAGTATCTTTAACTGATAATGTATACCTAAATAATCCATAATGGTTTTTTTTTAAAAAAGTACACGATCATATCCTTAGCGTTCTATGTAAGGGGAGCTCGTAAGTTGAATGGTGGTTACTCTATAAAGACATACAACATGCAAAGTATTAGCGAATATAAAGTCAGCAGGATCAACAAGGTCATATAAATTAACTCTGTTTTCTATCATTTACATAAAAATCTTCCCTGATGCAACCCGATAAGACGACACGGATATTCCCAAATGGGCCGACGTTGCACTGGAATTTCTTTCATCTCTGCTACAGCGGCAAAGGGAAAAAGGCCTATAGCTATGTATATTCTCAAGAGGCCAATGCATTTTGTCACTGTTATCTTACAGAAACAGGACGGTTATCCCCCAGCTATCCCCGGAAAAAAGCGGGAGATTTGCACCTAGAGAAGTTTCCGTAGAATCAGACAAATCAGATACCCTGTCAATACTTTTGCAAGGTTAGACTTCCCGATATGTATATATACGACTCCAGATCTACCCGACAGAAATGATCTTGGGATATGATAAGAGCTGGAGAGTCACTCGGAAAACATCGGCGTAAGAAAGTCAAGGACCCCCACAAAAAAAAAGGCCCAGGAACATGTCCGTGCGGACTAATTAAAGTAGCCAGATAAGCTGTGGAGTAAAAAAGAGATTTATTTAGTTTAGTCAATTTAGTCTGCTTAGTCTGTTGAAGATAGGGAAAGAAAAAAATTGGGAGGGGAAGAAGCTGGGAACAGAAGAGAGGGGTCTTGTGAAGTCAATTCTCTTCTCTTTCTCACATCTTTTTCCGACAAGAAATTAAGAGAATCTAACAATCAAAGAATACTTCCGCGAATCTTTACTGCCACTGACGACATGTGTTGATGGCGCTTCCTCGCTCCAGATAGCATCATCGTCAATGGCGTAATAGCTGTGTGGACATTTAAACCTGAAAGGCACATCTGCACATCTTCTCTCTTGCTCCAAGGCTATAAGCTATAGATCGTGATGGATCAATCAATGACTCTCATCGATGCACAAGTGCACTTCCTGGTGAGTCATTCGAGTCATTCATGCCTGCCTACAACACCTACTAACCCAAGGCCAGGAGGAATGTGTTGTACTGGTACACATCCCACTGGAGCTGTACCCGTACTTCTTGAAGTCTGTTCTAAGACTCATTTTTGATGAAACTCCACGACTGGAAGAAAAGACAGACGATGATGCTGCAATTGATGATTTCGACAACGCTTCGGAGCTTGGCTCGGCGTACAAACCACCTGCATTCATGAACGTCTCCATCACTCCAGTCGAAGTCTCTGTCATGTGTCCGAGACGCCTGGTCGACAGACACTTCGTCCCGGTCATGAACCAACTCGACCAGTTGGACGACTCACTCCGATCCCGTCTGATCGTGAGCGAGAATGACTATATCGCCATGCAAGTCCTCGGCCAAGGCCTTGAGGCCGGCAAACGAGTCTTGGAATTGACCAGCCCACTTGCCCTGGCAGGCATGTATGTGACCTCGAATGCATCCCCTATATATACGAAAACAAACCCAAGCTAACATCCCCCACAGCTCCATCTTCTTCATCTCAACCTACTTCTCCGACTACATCGTAGTGCCAAAGCAAAGCAAAGCAAGCGTGATATCCGCCCTGGAAAAAAGAGGTTTCCAATTCAACAACACCTCAGCAGCCTTCATCACCAACCCGCTCAGCCCAACCACCGAAAGAAGACTAAGCGACCTAATCCCACCAGGAACACCACCACCCTCAACCCTAGGCGAGCTGCAAACCCGCACCTTCAACAACCTCCGCAAAAACCAAATAACCCCATCCGTAGACGACTCCCTCCGCCTAGTCCAGTGCGCCGCCCACCACGAATACCACAGCCAAGAATCCTCAATGTCCATCCTCCGCGATGCCCTAACAACAGTCCTCCTTGTCGACGAGCCCCGCTTCCTCTCCCTAACCCTCGCAGCCCTCGACCCAGCCGCCTCCCTCCTGCTAGAGAAGCGTCTCCTGCCCCGCTTCGCCCGCCAATCAACCTCCTCAACAGGAACACGTTCCTACGAAGACGGCTCCGGCCTCCTCCTCGGCTCAAAGGAAGACCATCTAATCCCAATCACTCTCGACCTCCGCGACCTCCCCCTCGAAGCCTCCGGCATCGTCTGCGGTGTCGCAGGCCGGCTCGCAGACGCAGCTACCGTCCCGCACGCACAGCCCGATAGCGCTATCGACAGTGGTGCTAGCAGTGTCGTCGGCTCAGTGCCGAAACTGTTTGATTCTTTCGGTACTCGTCTCGCCGCGCTTTCTATCGATAAACCCCCGGCTCATGGCTTGCATCCCTTACCTCAGTCGATGCATCATCTCCAGCCGGATGTGGATGTTGCTGATGCCGTCGAGATTAGTTTCTTGAGTACGGCGCGCGCGGGTACGATTATTGTTGGGGAGGATGAGCTTAGGAGGGCTATTGATGCTCTTGAGGAGGAGAAGAGACAGTCGCCTAGCCTTGAGGGTATTCGGTTGGAATCGCAGACGCCGCCGGATAGTCCGCAGCAGCGGGGTTAGGTTTTATTTTGTTCTGGTGATTTTTGCTGGTCTGGAATGACTTACGTTTTGATGTGTCCATGTGTTGATGTGGCGTCTGGGTACGCAAAAGTTCGCTTGTTTTATTATTTGTATGAGTAATATTGCTTTCTGGGTCGTGAATTGGTTTTTAGCAGTATGATATATTATCTATGTCAATTCGAGATCTTATTGATGAAACTGTTGTTCATAAAATGCCAGCAAAATCCGTCCATATATATCTCTGGAGCAGCACCACCATAATACATTTAATCCAACGTTTACATGAAAAAGATAAAGAATGACCTCCAAAAGGGGAAAGCAAGGTGATTATTTTATTAATTTCATATCTCATTACTGATACAACAGTGCTGGCATACATACGGGCGCAACGCTCCTGGCTCCAGGGCGAAAGCTTGACCTACATGGTCGATTTTGCGGGTCTGCAAGACGTACCTATCTTCACCCCCAGCTTTGCTCAAAATAGCCATATTGCTCGGGTTGCAAGCGAGAGGTGCCCATCGTCAAGTCAATTGGAGTCTCATGTTGAACGGTAGAGGGTAGTAAGACTGCCACAGGGCTTGCTAGTCCATACAGGCTCCCGCCGACATTGCTTCAGCAGGGGTGGCGTAATATGGCCCGGTACTTTGAGAACCGCGGATATTGGACGTCGACACGAGGGAAGTTGCCCTGTCCTTGTCATGATAGCCTTGTCCGAGACCTTGTCTAATACATCTGGAAACGAGCCCACTTCATCCGTAGACTCTGACAGCACCTTAAGAACAACAGTCAGCACAAGTATCCCAAACCTCAAAGAACACCAAGTACTTACCATCAGAGCACCCAGCCGCCCAATCCCCCACACCCTCATTCCACGCCACACAACTAACAGCCTTAACCTTCTCCCCAACAGGCACCGCAGCAATAACCTCCCCCTTAACAACATCCCAAGCAAACGCCGCCGCCCCAGCCGCCCCCTCCTCACTCCCACTCAGCACAACCGCATCCCCCATGGCGAAGACAGAACGCACCCGCAGCTCCGAATTCCGATACGAATGCCGCTTCCCAATTCCACCCTTCTCCCCCCCAAACGCATTAAGCACCTTGCCATCCATCCGGTCCAGCAGCCGGATATACCCATCCAGTGTCGAAGCCAACAGGGCGTTCCCGTCGCTTGAGCAACGCACGCTCGTCACAGGGTGTGCGAGGACGTCGACGGTCGTCTTGCCGGTGCGAATGTCGTAGATCCGTGCGCGGCCGTCGTAGCTACCGCTTGCGATCGAGTAGCTCCCCATATGCGCGTGTAGTGATGAGACGGTGTCGGTTGCTTCTGTGAGGGTTTGGATGGGTTTGTAGCTTGAGGAGCGGGTATCCCAGATATTGATTGTTGTGTCTGCGCTACCTGCAAAGAGGAGGGTGGTTAGTTTGGATGCTGAATGGGAAGAGCAGAGGGGAGTCTGTGGGATTCATTTACCGGTTACTACGACGGAGTCGCCATCGCCGGCAAACTGCACGGCTTCGACCCGGCTGTTATGACCGGTCCATCGTTTGGTCGTGATGCCTTGCTCGACATCCCAGAGGAAGACTTGTCGATCGCCTCCTACGCTGGCGAAGCGCGCGTTGTCGGCTGTGACGGCGATGTCTAGGACGGAGTAGCCATGCGCTTCATATTTTTGAATAGGGGTCGTGGTCTCGACTACCGTCGGGCTATTGGAGTTGTTTGGAACTGCGCGCGAAAGGTGGATTGCTCGGTCTGAGGAGCCGGTGAGGACGTAGGTGCCGCCGGAGCTTGAGAAGGTTACCGCATTGACCGGACCTGCAAGGATGTTAGCGTCTGGGGTTTGGAGGGATTTGGAGCTGAGATGGCGCTTAAATAATGAGCCTACCATTGTGTGTTTTGAGGGTATGGATATGCCTGGTTGGGAATATTGTCCGGGGCATGGCCGTCGAGTTGGTGGAGAGATGGAATTGGCGGAGTTTACAGAATGCGGGAGCTTGGAGCTTCAACTTCAAGTCCCACTTGGAAAGCCTTCGGAGTGGGAAACAAACAGAAATTACAACTTTACTTTGAGCCTATGGGTTCACAAGAATTAATTCTGTATTTCGTACGGAATACAGAAGAAGTTATTATCAAGGTTGTAGACACACCATCGCTAGCTACCAGCGGTAAATGGATATAACAAACAAAACGAACCAAGCCCTCAGACAAAGGTGCTTCCAAGCGCGAACAGCAAGACATAGGGTACTCAAAAGAGAACAGAAAACAAGAGCATGGTTCGACGAATCCCCTTTTGAACGATCCGGGGCGACTCCCGGTAAAATTGCAACATCTTAACGACGTCCGTGGCTGCGGGTGCTGGAACCCTGCAGACCCTCGATCTCCTGCTCGAGAGATTTGATACTGTGATAGGTTAGCAATGAATTCTCCTAAACAATAGTCCAAAACGTACGCTGCATGGGTGGCCTCGAGATCCTTGTTGAGACGGTCGCGCTCTGAGATGAGCTTCTGCTCCCACTGGCGGAAACGTTGCTCCTCGACCTTGACCTGTTCGGTGAAGCGCTTGCGCAGAGTCTCCTCTTCCTCCTTGAACTTGGGGTTGTCGAGTTTGCGTGGCCGGGCCTCGCCAAACTTGCGGGTCTCCATCTGCTGGGCACGGTATGCCTCGTAGTGGGATTCTTCCGTGGTGTGAATAAGGTCGAGCATGTGGGTGCGGATCAGGATCGAGCGGAGCTTCTTGAAGTCGCAGTGGTCCTCGTTCTCCACCTCGGCGACACCCCAAGCGTACTGACGACCTTTGACAACACGGCCATCGTTGGCCTTGACGTCCTTCTCGGAACCGATGACGGCAAAAGGCATGGCAGCCATGAGGCTGCGGGCATGGGAAGCAGCGTGCTCGTCGTCCTCCTCCACGGGCGGGGAGTAAATCTTGATGCCCTGGGCCTCGATCACAGCGCGGATCTAATCAATTGTCAGTCCGGATCCTTCGCTCTCCTTGTGTACTCGTTCCACTCACTCTCTCCTTGTAGCGCACCAGATCCGCGTGGCTCAGGGTATCAGCCTTGGCAACCACGGGGATCAGGTTGACACGGGAGCTCAGACGCTTCATCACCTCGATATCGAGAGGCTTCAGGGTGTGTCCGGTGGGGCGAATGAAGTACAAGCAGGCGTGAACACGCATGTCGATCTTGTCGGTTCGGCGGGGCTGCTGCTCCTGGAGCATGTACGACTCGTGCTGGTCATCCAAGAACTCGATAATGGGTTGCCACGAATCACGGTTGTTCACATAGTCTCCAAATCCAGGGGTATCAATGACGGTGAGGCGGACTAGAAAATCGATAACTTATCAGCTATCGAAACGCGGAAGTCGAACCCCCTCCCCCGACACGAGAGTATCTGGGTCGCACCTTTGAAGAACTTCTCCTCGAGCTCAGCCTTGGTAATCTCAATCTCCACAGTTCGGTCGACCTGCTTCTGGTGGCGGCGTTTATGATCGGCATAGTTCTTAATGGTGGTAGAGAAGAGAGTGTTGATGAAGGTCGTCTTTCCCAATCCCGACTCTCCGGCAACCTGATCGAAGCATCGTTAGCATCAGCACGCGCGGAGCATTTCCCTCGGACTGTGGAACACACCATAATAGTGAAGGCTGCACCCCGCTTCGCGACGATCTTGTGACTATATAAGCTTGATTAGAATCTTTCCTCATATCCACCGTAATCACTCAAAGGTACACACCGCTGGTTGGGGAGCTATATCAAAGATGGGGAGTTAGCTTCAGGGAATCACAAAGGAAATGCTGGCATTCTGAATAGCTTACGTTGGCAATGCCAATCGGCGAGGCGGTCTCTGAGGTCGACATGGTGGGCTATAGGGGGGGATTAAAAACAATTGGGGAATCAACACAAAAAAGATGAAGAAGAAGAAACCCCAGGTGTAGAGTAAGACCAGAAATGAGAAGAGAAAATAAGTCGACTCCTGAGGCAAAAAAAGGGAAAAGGAGGAACGAATGTGAAGTCGGGATCTCTCTCGAACTGCCCGTCGCTGCTTCCCCCTGAATCTCCTTTCGTTTTCTGGAGTATACCTCACCTTGCCTATCTGGGTTTAGCGTAAGGGACTAGTCCTGATTAGGTCCGGGAACGGGGCATAGATGATCCGAAGGCTCTTATCACGGTAGCTAAATTATCTCTAATTTTTTGATCTTTTGAGATCGCCGACAGCCAAAATGAAGACAGACTTCAAGGTAAGTACTACGTTTGGATTCTTGATCGCATGCAATTTACAGAAAGCCTTGATTGTTATCCGTGATACTAACAACCTCAATTTTAGTTCTCCAACCTTTTGGGGACGGTATATCGCAAAGGAAATCTTCTCTTTACTCCCGATGGCACATGCTTGCTTTCGCCAGTAGGCAATCGAATCTCGGTCTTTGATCTGGTACAGTATGTGTCGCCCGACGGTCCTTTGTGATTTGGAAACCGACCCGCTCACAATTGCTTCTATAGAAATACTTCCTATACCTTGCCTTTTTCACACCGTACAAACATCGACCGTCTCGATCTTTCGCCCAAGGGTAATCTTCTATTGACCGTGGATGAAAATGGTCGCGCAATTTTGACCAATTTTCAACGGCGCATCGCCATTCACCACTTTTCCTTCAAAGGACGAGTGTCCGCACTCAAGTTCTCCCCGTCCGGCCGACACTTCGCCGTTGGCGTGGGAAGACGCCTGCAGATCTGGCAGACACCCTCTACCCCCGGCACCGAGACCAACGGCGAGATCGAATTTGCCCCCTTCGTTCTACACAGGGATCTTGCTGCCCACTTTGACAACATCGAAAGTGTCGAATGGTCCAGCGATTCGCGCTTCTTGCTCACTGCCGCAAAGGATTTAACGGCGCGAGTATGGAGCATGGATCCGGAACAAGGTTTCGAGCCGACAACTTTGGCGGGCCACAGACAGGGTGTGGTGGCTGCCTACTTTAATGCGACACAAGAAGTTGTAGGTGCTTACTGGAAATTGGCCCTCCTGGAAACTCCATACTAATTTTATCCATAGATTTACACTGTCAGTCAAGACGGCGCGCTCTTCCGCTGGGAGTATGTTACAAAGAAAGACGAGGAAACGATGGAAGATATTTCCGACGCCCGATGGAGAATCGTCAAGAAAGATTTCTTCATGCAGAACGACGCAAAGGTCAACTGTGCCGCGTTCCATGCGCCGACAAATCTTCTGGTGGTAGGGTTTTCCAACGGTCTATTCGGACTTTATGACCTGCCAGAGTTCAACATGATCCATCAATTGAGGTACATCAGTCTGTGCCACCTTCCCTTTCACAGTGGCTAACATAACCCCCTCTAGTGTCTCCCAGAGCAATATCGACGTTGTGACAATCAACAAATCAGGCGAGTGGCTTGCATTCGGATCGTCTAAGCACGGTCAGTTGCTGGTGTGGGAATGGCAGTCTGAGTCATATATCCTCAAACAACAAGGGCACCTCGATTCTATGAACGCCCTCGCATATTCACCGGACGGCCAGAGAATTGTAACGGCTGCTGATGACGGTAAAATCAAGGTTTGGGATGTCAAGTCAGGCTTCTGCATTGTCACTTTTACGGAACATACCAGTGGAGTGACCGCATGTCAGTTTGCGAAGAAGGGAAGTGTTTTGTTCACAGCATCTTTGGACGGTTCTATCCGTGCATGGGATCTTATTCGCTACCGTAACTTCCGAACCTTTACAGCGCCATCACGGCTGTCATTCTCCTCGTTGGCCGTGGACCCTAGTGGAGAAGTGATCTGTGCCGGTTCACCGGACTCCTTCGACATTCACGTATGGTCCGTGCAGACCGGTCAATTGCTTGACCAGCTCTCTGGCCACGAGGGTCCAGTTTCCAGCCTTGCTTTCGCTGCTGATGGCAACCACCTTGTCAGTGGAAGTTGGGATCACACAGTTCGAATCTGGAGCATCTTCGGCCGGTCACAGACCAGTGAACCTCTCCAGCTCATGTCAGACATTCTCAGTGTGGCTTTCCGTCCAGATGGGCAGCAAGTCGCCGCATCTACCCTAGACGGTCAGCTTTCCTTCTGGTCTGTTGAGGATGCTGTGCAGCAAGGAGGAGTTGACGGTCGCCGTGACGTCTCTGGAGGACGCCGAGTGGCCGACCGCCGTACTGCTGCCAATGCCGCAGGCACCAAGTCTTTCAACCGAATCACATACAGCGCAGACGGTAGCTGCATTTTGGCAGGTGGCAACAGCAAGTATATCTGCTTGTATGATGTCGGAACAGGGTCATTGATCAAGAAGTTCACCGTCTCCGTAAATACCTCGATCGATGGCACCCAGGAGTTCCTGAACAGTCGTGACATGACTGAGGCTGGTCCCCGTGCTCTTATTGACGAGACCGGTGAAGCTTCTGATCACGACGAACGTGTTGATAGCACTCTTCCTGGCGCAAGACGCGGCGATGCCGGTGCGCGCACCACACGCCCAGAAGTCCGCGTGACATGTGTGGATTTCGCACCGACTGGACGAGCATTCTGTGCCGCCTCTACCGAAGGACTCCTTGTTTACAGCTTGGATACTGACTTCATCTTTGATCCCTATGATCTGGACATCACAATCACACCGTCAAGCATCCTTGCCACACTAGATGCTGCCAAGGAAGCCGCCATATCCGACACTGTGGATGAGGATGATAACACCTTCCTGAAAGCTCTTATCATGGCCTTCCGATTGAATGAACAAAAGCTACTTCGTGTCGTATATGAAGCGATCCCTCCGTCAGATATTCCCCATGTGGTTCGGTCCGTGCCCTCCGTCTATCTACCTCGCCTTCTCCGATTTGTTGCACATGCCGCCGAAGAAACACCGCATCTTGAGTTCAACCTCATGTGGATTGAGTCTTTGTTCAGCAGCCATGGTCGCTACTTCAAAGATAACACAGGTACATTCGCAACCGAGCTTCGTGCCGTCCAGCGTGCTGTCGATGAGATCCGCGAAAATCTGAAACGGTTGACAGAAAAGAACCTTTACGATCTCAACTACCTGCTCTCGAAGCCTGTTCTCGGAAACAAGAAAACTAGCAGTGCTTTGTTGGCCATGGAAACCGAGGACGCCGAGGTTCCTGATGATCAGATGGTGGATGCTGACGATGGAGAGGGTGAGTGGGTTGGCTTTGAATGATTTTCTATGGGATTTTCTTCGTGTATGTCTACTTGCATCTGAGCCAGGCGTTTTGTATATTGCAAAGACCAAAAAGGGAAATAGAGAGAGGCCTCTGCAGCCCTTGTGTGAATAATATCCTCCAAGTTCCGCTCTCTGAGACCTCAAACGGAGCCATTGTCCATCTTTTTGCCTTTAGCAAACGCCCTCCCGTTTTAAAATAAAAGGTCTTACTCCTTAATACTATCCGAATGTGTCCTGTGCCACCCTCTCTTTACCTTTCTTACTCTTCTTACCACCGAACGACTTCCTTAATCTCCCCGGTTCCAATATCCCGGACAATCCAAGGCTCCGGAGAATCATTTATCTAACCTGGTACCTTTCCCCTTCTGCTGGTCAAGATTTCATCATGGCCCTACCCTTCTGGCCCCTCGTTGGGGTGTTGGTTGTAGTGCTCTATCTACTTCAACGACCACCAGCTTCCAGTCTGAGACATATCCCAACTGTCAAGTACAATGCGTATCTACCAAACTTTATCAACCGACTCATCTACTACCCCAAAGCTGCCTCGATGATCAGTGAAGGATATGAAAAGGTGCGCAATATACCTGAAATCAGTGGCCCAGCTCCATTGACATCTGTCTCTGCAATCTTTAGTACAAAGATAGTCCATTTCGCCTGCTCACCGGCGATGGAGAAGTCATTGTCCTGCCAGTGAAATATCAGGATGAACTGAGACATCTTCCTCCTTCGAAACTCAGTTCTCTACATGCCCAATATGAAGTAATCCCATGAGCTTACTTGTACTACGTTACGTTGAGAGGTTGGAGCTGATATACTACTTCACAGAACGCGTTGGGCCAGTATACCAACATCATCATCAATACCCTTTTACCTGCTATGACCGTGCGGAAAAAGTTGACGCCCAGTCTAAGTACTTACATTCTTTGATCTTCAAGACCAGAGAATTAATATATATCGAATTAGGCCGAGTCGTCCCCGGGGTCATCGACGAGTTGCGAGCAGCGTTCGATACTGCTCTCCCAGGATGCGAAGGTGTGATATGCGAACATACTTTATGGGACCAACCATGCAGAGCAACACTCGGATACTGACAGAGATATTGAACACAGACACCTGGATTCGAATCAACCCATGCGAGCTGTTCACCCGGCTAATCGCCCTCTCGACATCCCGCATGATGGCAGGTGACATCCTCCGCGAAAACGAAGAATGGCTCAACGTCGCAAGCAACTACGCCGTGAACGTAGGAATCACCATTCTCCTTCTCCGTCCAGTCCCCAAATACCTCCGTCCCATCGTAGCGCCCTTCCTCCCCAGCGTCCGGAAGATGAAGAAGCAGTTGCGCTTCGCGAAAGACCTCTTTATTCCGATGATCCACGAGCGCAGGCTGGCAGAACAGGCCAAAGACCCCAATTATACCAAGCCAGACGACTTCTTGCAGTGGATGATGGATCTGGGCCAGGAGAAGAACGAGGACCTGGAACCGGATACCCTGGCACATCACATGCTGCTCTTGGTAACACTGGCTGTTACTCACACCAGCACGATGGCCTTGTGCCACTGCCTCTTTGATTTGGTTACTAGACCAGAATACATTGAGCCCCTGCGGGAAGAAATGACCCGGACTCTACCTGATGGCTGGTATAAGGCGACTCAGGCGGCGCTTAAGGACCAGTCCCGTCTGGACAGCTTCTTGCGCGAATCTCAACGATTCGCTCCGCCTGGTGAATGTGAGTCTTGAGAATGTCTTATAGCTGAGCTGTATAACCAGTCGAAGGCTGGGTGTGAAGATGTGCTCTAACCACCTTGTCTAGTGAACTTCCACCGCATCGTCAAAGAACCAATCACGCTCCATGATGGCCTCGTTCTTCCAGTAGAAACACATATCTGTTTCGCTGCCGGTCCGATTAGCAAAGACGCTGCCTTTATCAAGAACCCCAAAGCCTTCGACGGGTTTCGCTGGTGTCATGACCCTCGGGATCGCTTTGTCCTGACTCCTCAGCTAGCAGAATCCACTATCCCGAATGGTGCTGGCGAGGAGATGCAAGCCGAGAAACCGTCTTCCGCCCATTTCGTTTCTATCACCAATACTAACATGCATTTCGGGTTCGGGCTCCAGGCGTGTCCCGGTCGGTTCTTCGCGGCGAATACTTTGAAGGCGATCTTGAGTCGTATCATCCTCGACTATGAGTTTAAGTTTCTTAAAGATCTAGATGGGAAGAGACCTAGCAACCTTGTAGTTGGGGAGCATATTCTTCCGAGTATGAATACTGAGATGCTGTTTCGGAAAAGGCCTATTGGACTTTGAGTAGAGGGGGGGTGGCTAGTGGAGAATGTTGCTTGTTAGGGCTGCCAGAGATCGATGCGCGATGCCATACTTAATTCATCTACATGTTACGGTTCTTGCTTTATGTCTAAAAGATCTCAGACTGGGAAATACGAGGATCGGATTCAATACCATCGTACATTCATCCTCAATAGATATAAGCACCGTCTCGACATAGATGTCTAGGCTAGGCGCAGATATCTAAAGCATCCATATACATACAGGGTTCTTCAAATCCAATCATTTCATCATATCTTACCAAGTCCATCATTCACAGGGGGTTAGGCTGGGGCGCACCTCGCCCACGACCTCTGCCACGGAACCCATTACCACGACCGCGACCACGTCCACGCCCTCGATCCAATCCTTGCGGCGGCGGAACGTGAGAGTAGTTCTGCGGACGGAAGTTAGGGTTGTTTTGGATAACACCCTCGCTGGGGTCACCGTTTTCCACTGTGACATATCCGCCTCGGGCACCTCCCCGACCGCCACGGGGGCCACGGGGAACACCGCCACCATTGGTATGGGGACGGAAGGGAAGAGTGGTCTGCAGCCCGTTGTTCAGACCACCGCGACCTCCACGACCAGCTCCATTGACATGTCCGGCGACAGCTCCTCGGAAGGAGCCTCTCAGGGGTGGAGGGGCAGTTGCGTTCCTTAGTTGCCCCTGACCGTGAGGACCCATGGGGGCACCATACCCGGCAACTGTCAAAGGAGTCTGTGTCTGCTGTGTCTGCTGGCTAGCTGTAGCACGGGAACTCGTGATAAGTTGTCGGTTGGAGATGTTGAGGAGGGAGGATGCCAAAACAGTCTGACCACGGAATGGGGAGCATCGGCCACCTAGTGTAGTGCCGCTCATGAACGACACATCGAAGACAACATCAAGCAGAAGTGCTCGTGCGGTTCTGGTGAGACCGACGACAGTGCCACGAGTAGCGATCGGCACTTTACCCGAATCTTGGGCATACACAACTCGATCGCCAAGCTTGAAGCTTTGGTTTCCGAGACGGTGTTCGACATCAGCAGGCCGAAGGAGGGCACTACGGGGTACACCTCGAACCTTCTTCGGCTGCATATCTGGCTGGGACGCATTGAGTTTATCGGCATCCTGTTCAATCAACTTCACAATATCCGAGTCAAGTTGCTCAGCATCGAGGGGCACTCTCTCGAAGTTCTTGGCTTCTACAGATTTGAGCCAATCTTTAATCTCCTTCATCTTGAGGACGGCAATTTCCTCGGGATAGAAATCAGTCGGAGAATAACGGTCACTTTGTGGGTTGCGCTGGATGCCAGCAATGAATTCAGGGAAGTTAATCATGTACTGTTGAATCAGTTCCACTGCCTTCTGGCTAAATTCCCAGCCGGATTCTCCCCGACGGGAGTATCCAAGAACCTTCTGTTGCTTTGCCTGGAACTTCAGGTTAAGACCGAGGTTCGCACGTTGGCCTTCGATGTCGACAGTAAAGGAAGATGTGATCTTAGCCAGTACCAAAGGATTGAGGCGGAGACTGCGCGCAACAGCGTACGAAGGCATGTAAGGGCAAAGCTGCTCAGATACCCTCACACGCTCTCGACCGAATTCTGGCTCCCGGCCTTTCACAGCCGCGACCAATCCATTCACCTTTCCGTCTTCGTGTCCGCTAACATACACAGGTCTTCCGTAGTTGAAGTCACCCAAAAAGAAGGCACGAGAACCCTCTGGGAATTCTTCTTGGATAGAAAGAGCTGCCCGCTCAATGAAACGTTGATCGGGATTGACCACATCATCAACAAGAACCTGTGGAGCGTAGTCCGTCTCTTGGCCGGGTATATCAGCGAATTCCTTGATTGTGGCTCCATCGTCTGTCTTGCTCATGCCCTTCAGGGGTTGAATGTGAACCAGAGATTCGACATCGCCAATGATAATTGCTAGACGCTTGCTGTAGGTGCTCTCGATCTTGCCGGCCTTCCTCTTCCACTGCTCAATTTGCTGGGGGGTATGGGGAATAGACAAAGGGTGTTCTTCTCCTGGGGGGAGAACATAATCAAATAATTCGTCCGAGACGCGAACCACAAGAGCTTCTTGCAAGAATGGATAACCCACGTGGACACGCTTCCCAAGTTTCGTCTTAGCCAGTTCAACGTTCGACCGGCTTCCCGGATCAAGGAGCGTAATAACCTGGCTCTCGTTACGGCTGTCTTGATTGAACACGCAAACACCATGGAATCCCAATTGACCATGGTGCGGCAGTGTCTTGATGCTAGGGAAGCCAGCAAGCGCTGCCTTGCCTAGGTGCACGCCGTCCATCAAACCAGCGTAGGGCACCAAGCCATCCATGACGGGGAGATCGAAGAGGTTCTCGATGCAACGGCAGCTAGGAAGATCCGGGAATACGCCAGGCATCGAGGAGGGGTAAACAAAGTTCACATCTGGGGAGTAGGTGAATTTGAGACAGGCCCCAAAGTCGTTCCTTGCTTTTTCGTCCGCGGAAAGTTGGTTTTCTTTCGTTTTAAGGGCGTCCAACAACCGCTTTTCGTCGATGAATGGGATCTTGACAACGGCTTCCCATTCCATCTTTTTCCCGTTCATATCGAGATCGAAATCGCGAGGGTAGAAATCGTAGATAGGGGAGTCAGGCGAGGTCATCAGATCCCAATACGCAGTAGGCACAATCTTCTTGCTGCGGTCGGGCAAGACACCCATAAGCTGGTCGAACGGCCGGAAAGGCTGTCCCAATTTGAAGTTCATGTCTGCACCGAGGCCATCATTCACATCTGTTTCACCGTCAGCAATCAAAACAATAAAAGAAGGACTTAGTACTACTAACCAGAGATCATAGGGGCATAGTGGTACTTGAAGAACCAAGGCCACGATGCAATGCCACGGTAATAGTAGAACAAGACCCACTGCAATCCTTGCACATAGTTTTGCGCCAACTTCTTCATCTCTTCCTTGTTGTCGAGGCCCCAGCCGAACTTGGTCCGATAATAATTATCTTTCCACTGTAGGAACTTGGCGTCATATTTCTCCTGCGCGGCCTTCTGCGCTTCCTCAGCCGTCATCTCCTGAACTTTGGCCTTCTCATACTTCCGAATAATACGCTGAACAGCCATCGATGCCTCTTCATCCTCTTCATCGTAATCACTATCACCCTGGGTTGGAGGCAATGAGAGCCTCATAAACCGATCACCGTTCTCATTGTCGAGGGAGGACCAAGACAACCGTAGCTCATCCGCAAGCCGTTCGACGAAAGTGCGGTCACGAGCTGGAAGTGTAGGAGGGAGGTCAAGAGGTTCAGAGGCCTTGTCAGACCGGTTCAGAACGTACTTCTTGACCGTCTTAAGGATCTCCTTCTGAGAAGGAGTGAGTGTAAGCTCTTTCTTCTGTTGCGAGCTCGAATAATCAATGTTCGAGTCTTTCTTTGATTTGATCCATTGGGCATCGGAGTTCTCCGCCTCGAAGAACCGGTATTCCACGGCGCTAAGTGCGGTAACAAGCATGCCTAACCGTTGCACATTGATAACACCCTGCTCGTTGATGTAACCGCCCATCTTTGGCAGCACCTCCTTGTAGAGCTTGAACATAAGGGCAAGGGCACCCTCGTTGATATGCAAGTTTGGCAGATTGGGCAAGAAATCGTTGCCAACAAAAAAGGCCATGAGAATGAAATCATCGATGACACGCTCCATATCGAATGGGAATTCCAGAACACCCTCTTGCTCTAGCTCTTGGAATTCTAATTCCAAATATTCCCGAACCACGCTCAGATGCAACAGATAAAAGTTTTGATGTTCCAGTTCTTTGGGCTTCTTGGATACTTGGCGACCAAAGGTCACTTCCTCTCGAAGAAGGCAGAAGTGAGGGTCGTGGCTGAGAAGACCCAGCATGATCAGATCGGCATCCAGACCGTAAAGACAATGGCGAACGTTGGATTCATACTCGGGCTGCGCTTTCGAGCAGCGAATGTATTCCATAATCTTGTGCTCGCCTTCTCCTGGAACCTCATGGCCGGAGAGCACAATTTCCACGCCTTGCCAATCTGTGTCCTCCGAGATCTTCTTGTTGATGAAGTATTTAAGTTGTTTCGTCAATTTTTGCATGAACTCGGTACCCGGAGTGATGCAGTTGCTGTCAAAGGGATCTTCCTTTGGCATCTCCAGGCCCTGCTGGATGGCCTTCTCCTTCGCGTTCTCTGCGTCAAGGGCCGTTCGGAATCGACGTGCACGCTGTTGATTCATCTTAGCGCGAGGCGCAACACCATCTACCGCCATATAGAACAGTTTCTTGGGCTTGATTTTGCCAAATAGATGTTCAATGTAATTGAAGATGGCAATGAACATTTGATCCTCGGTCATGCGAAACGTCGGGGAATCGCTGTCACTATGCGTACAGTTGTGAATAATGCCGTTCATGTCAAGGTATAGGCTGTCGAATTCAGGTATCCGGCTGTCTGCGATCAGCATCGAGATTGCTGGATACCGCTCACTCAGCCAGCGAAAGAATTTCGGGACACCCATGGTGAAGATTGTGTTGGGTCAAAGACAATATCGTCAAGAAACAAATCGGAAGGTAATTTATCGTAAGAGTTGAAAGATCGTATGAGGGGTACTCGTAAAGGACTGAAGTAGAGTTACTTGCGACGAAAGGTGAAACCATCCAATGAAGAAATCTTGGACAAGATACTGCGCCAACAAAGTGGTACCCAAAGAGAGATATAGGGATAGGAACGTAAAACAAGAAAGAGAAAAATGTAGTAACGCCAAACTGACGCTTTTCAGTTGTCTATGATGCAAGAAGCAGGTGTCCCCACGATGCGAACATTGAAGAGTCAACCAAGCTTATTCACCGCCTACCGATTAGGCATAGTGCCATTACCCGTCTCCCAGCACTCATTAACGCGCTGATGCGCGTAGCTTTCCTCCGCCTACCTGTCTGCTTCACGCACTGTTTCTAAGTGGCTCGGGTTCCATTGTCTCGCGACCTGAATATTTTGCTCAGTCTA